CCGAGGTAAGAGCGCACTGTTTTTAAGCGGGTTCCCCACCAAAGGTCAAAGTTCAGTTGAGGAGTTTACTAACCTTAAATGCTGGTGATCTAGATCCTGGTGATAATTCTCTGTTTAAAGCATCATAGTTTTGATGGATATTAACGATGTTTCCTAATCGTCCTCTTAGCTAAAGTGGGTCTGCATTACGCTACTTGCTGCAAAGTTGTTCTATGTCAGCTGATTTTTTCTGTTGTTGGTAACAAATTGTACTGATTTTACTGGTTTTTATCTTTATTTAGATTTTTCTTCTGAGCAGACCTTTGTGCTTGGACTGGATGCAGGACTGTGGATGTTACCTAAATGTTGGTCCTGGTTTATACCTAATCCAGATTTCCATTGGAACTGGTTTTGGGTGTTCACACAGATCTGGTTTTCTCACTGGTCTGCTTTAATTGGGACCAGTTCCTCTTTTCTCCCAGTTATCTGGAGGCATCAACCTGGTTTTATAATCAGATATTTTAGCTGTTGAGCTTAGAAACAGGATTCTGGTGGTGGTTTAAACCCAGAGTCTGTTCCCTCCACTCGTCTCCTCTGCTGAGGGGAGGAAGGACCTCCAGCTGGAGAGGTCAGAGGTCAGCCGGAGGCCGTGAATGTAAACATCAGTATCATGTCAGATTGAGAGTTGTTGGAAATGAAAACAGCCGTGCGTCTGTGTGTGATGCCTGGGAAGAGTGTGTGGGACCGGATGGAGTCGTATCAGAGGCCCGGTTTGTGCATCATGTGCGAGTTCATCTAATCATATGATCCTGATGCTGGGAGAGGCTTCCTGGCACGGAGCAGAGCCGCTAACAGACGCTCACACCCGTTCATTCCTCCCAGATCCTGGTTTCTTCCTGTTGTGTCATCGTTTGTATTTGGACCGGAGCACAGAGAAGTCCAGATCCCCGTCTTTTCCAGAACCAGAGCAGATAGAGATGACGGCCCCGTCCTGGCCCTCTCCCCATCAGTGTCCTCCTCCTCTTCTCCTCCCAGACGTCCGCCTGTCTTTTATCTGCTCGTGGCGCCATCCTCCTGGACAGCAAACCCAGTGATTGATTCCTGCTTGATAGGCTCTCATTTCTAAGATTTCATTTGTTATCAGCGGGCCTCTGAGCGAACACATAGATCCATGTGTGTTAGAGTGACTCTAACCCATCACCTTTTGTTCTTCGCCTCCTTTCCTGTCGGCTACAGCTTTTTATTCATAGGGAAGGCCTCATCTTCCTCATCATCTCAGTCCCTGACTTTTAGTAAAACATTTTCACATTCTTCCTCCTCCTCATCCTCTCCCTCCCTCGCTCCTTTCCACTCACTGAAGGAGTGAGGAGACGGCCTTTAGTATCTGCTGGAGATAGTGGCTACAATCTAACATTCCTCCCATGCCCCCCTCCTGGCCCTCCCTGGGGGTCAGTAGGGGTCAGGGCCGTCCTGTTCGGTATGTTTTGGAAGAGAAATCTGTTCATCTCCTGAAGATGTGCCTCTCAGGCAGATTTCCTTCCTCCAAAGACCAGATAAGATGATCTCCTGCTGCCAGGATCATCATGAAATGTGCTGCTACCTCCTGGTGATGAGATCTTCCAGATCTCCCTGGCTCTGCTCCAGTTACCTCACATGATGGACCTCTGTTGGCTAAAGGGCTAGTTATCCTCCCGCAGCAGTGTGTAGCAGTGAGCTTGTCGCAGATATTTTTGATTTATGCCCAATATTGAAGCATGGTCTGTGCTGTTATTCCACGCCACAACGCCAGAGGGACAATCAGGAACTAGCTGTGTGTCTAGATACGGCTGAGGCGGTGAGGAAGTGGGGGCAAGTTTGTGCGACAATGGAGGGACATGAGGGCGAAAAAGGGCGGGGATCCAGGTGGAAAAAAGGTCCCAGCGTTCTCGCACACCTCGCTCTTCTAGCTGGTCCATCTTCACCAGTCGTTTTCCACAATTGCGGTCATACAAACAAAACAAGCCAGTAAGAAACCAAACAAGAAATATGCATAGTGTAGAGCGGATGTAGATTTGACCAATCAGAGGCCTCCTGTCTGAGGTCACCTAAAATTTTGGAGAGGTGCAGCAGAGTGTCTGTGGAAGGGGCGGGGCTATATCTGCATTCACTGCGACGCAGACAACCTGGTTTCTGAGTATAAATCAGCCATAACCCAGGGTCTGGTCTCTCTACAGAGGATCACAGAGTCTTCCTTGAGTACCTGTGGACCTCTATGGAATGCAGTACACCTGAGTTTGTGGGGGGCCTTTAGGAGACCTTAAGGCTTTGGATGGTTTGGGTTTGTCCTGGACTCCTGCTGTGGTGCTGAAAGTGACCATAGATGGTTACGGATCCTTTTAACGCCGAGCTCTGATTTACGTCCTCAGATAAAGTGATGCTTAGTATTTCTGCACTTCATGTCATTCTTTGTCCTCATACTTTATTTTATCTGTTCTTTTTTGTCTCTATTTCTTTTCTAATGGTTTAACATCTAATTGACCTTACACAGGGTTCCCGCAGGTCCTTAAAAAGTCTTAAAAGGCATTCAATTCTTCAAAATAAAACTAAGGCCTTAATTGGTATTAAAATGTCTTAAATCAGTCTTTCGTAGGTCTTATAATTATTTTTGTTTCGATTTATTTTTGTAATCTAAATAAAACGTTAAGATTGACAATTTTTTATTTTTATTAAAAAAAAAAAAAAAAAAAAA